AAAAATATTTTTCGTACAAACAGAAGTCGAAAGAATACAATTTATTATCGATAATATGTGTGCATTAACAAATATTAATGATGAAACTTATATTGAAATTCTTGAATCAAAATTAATCAATCAAACAACTGTTAAAATTGAATATCTATCACAAATGAGTTATGATGAAATAAAAAATATAGGTAGTTGTAACTATTATATATCATATGACTTAAATGAAATAACATTAAATATGTTAAATAATATTTCAATTAATGTTACTTTTATGGAAAATTTAATAAAATGGTTAATGAAAAAAATGATTACTTTTAAATATAATGATGATACTATATTTTCAATTGTTTTATGTTGTTTTTTATTATCTTTAACTTCTGCATGTGTTCAAAAAAGGCGATTATTTGTATCGAAAAATTATCAATTCTTCAAATTTTAATAAAAATACAAATGATTAAACTATTAGAAAAAATGCTTCATTATCATCCATTTTTTGCAGCAAGAGGCAATGCTTTTATAATACTTGCAGCAATAGATCATTGTGATCATAAAGTAATCATAAATACTATGAATACATTATTGGATGAAAATGTTGTAAAAGAATATTCTGTGATTGGATTTTCTTTAATACATTTATCATCAAATGAATTAATTGATGATTTATTGGAATCTTTACAAAGTGAAAAGTGCCATAAAAACTTATGAAATATTAAAACTATTCACAGAATTCACATTAGATGAAAAAATAGATACTAAAGGAAAATCAAAAATTATAAATTATTTAGCAAAAGAAATAACACAATTAAAATCAAAAAAACCGGTTAATTATTATTATACAGATATAAAAATTCCTTTCACAACAACATTGAAAGATGAATTATATAAGGCATGGATTAAAATTCAGGGTTTATCTGGTAAAACACAATATTCTATTAAAAATGGATAAATAAAACACAAATAATCTTTTTTCAATTTCGAATAATGATTTGCTTTCAGAACTTACTATTTTTCTTACTATTAAGTTTATTCTTGATTTTCAATATGAATTAATCACGAAAAGTGTATTCACTATCATTATTAAGTAAATTCTTATTTGTGATAATTCTGTGCCAATTACCTTGCAGATTCATATTAAAATAAAGTACAATTTTAAGTCGTAAGAAAAAAACTCAACTGTAGCCTTTTTCTTTTACATGCAAAAAATTAGCAGAGAGCTTTTACTTTATAGAAAGATATTCTTCAATACATTTTACATTAAAAAATACCAGTTCTATCAAATAGATTATCAAAAATACTCATTGTCCAACGGTGTGAAATTTTACTGCTGTTGACGTAGAATTCGAGAGAATCCAAAATGTTTTACAGTTTTTGTGTCTGAGACCACTCGAGTATGAAACATCTCACGTCAAAATATGCGGGTGTTGTTGTTTCCTTGGCTGCGCCTACCCTAGTGGGTTGAACTGCATCGAACGATGCACGACACAATATATTTTCTAACGAAAAAAAGTTTCAAAAAGCAAAATAATCATTTTCCATAGATAATTTTCGTGGAAAACGTTTTTTTTAACAAAAAGGTTTATTTTCTTCGATACCATTTTCTAAATGATACGTAATCCTTTCTGAATAATACAAACCTATTTCCGAGCATCAAAGTTTCATCATTGTCTGAAATTCA